TAGTCCATGCAGAAATAGAAGTACAATGATGTACACCTGAAATTTTTACAATGTTATAAACCAATGTTACTGCAATAAACAAAAAATTAAAAAAAAAAAAAGACGACTTAGATGTTCATGAATGCTTTTTGTCCCCAGTGGCTACCCCCACAGAACTTTCTTTCTGAATAGCCAACCAGTTTGTTCTCAGCATTAAACATGATTTTTTCTATTAAAACCCTACTTTAAAAAAAGCTAATGATGAAAATTTTAGTTAAATTTCAGTGTCATGTGTAATTGCCAGCAAGGTATATAGAATATAAAGAATTATGGGATTTTAGAGATACAGCAGAACCTAGAGACTCAGTGAGTCCTGTGGTTACCACCCTTTTCACCATTCCCCCCATAAATGTTCGTTGAGCACCTGCTGTTACAGACACTGTGTGCGGTCACTTCTGAATCCTCCTTCACCCTGCTCCCTGAACATAGGATTGTTAGTCATTTGAAAGCCAAGGCTTACAAGGAGCCAATTGCAGTAAACAAACCAGCATTACTGTGGGATACATTCTGGGATTTTTACTTTAATAAAAATGACTCCTGGAACCTCAATACTACATTCTCGAAACCCCAAGAAGCCAGGGTGACAACTCATAAATCTGTCATTTTTCAGATGGGGGAGGTATGGCTGAGAAGGTCAAATGACTTGTCCGAAGATAGATACCAAACTAGTGAAGGGGCAGCATTTTATGGAGGCATAGATGAGGTATCAGTGGAAAATAAGTTAAGTAAATAAATGCAAATATCCCCTTTTAAAATTTTATCAGTATAAAAATTACTTAAAATATGTTATCTCAAATTTAAATGGGCTAACTTCCTTTGGTGTAACACCTGGGCATGTGGAATTTGCTGCAAACATGATTCCCCTGGCTGGGGCTAAGACTTGGCCTTGTAGGCTTGTGAAGGGGCGTTATCCCTGGGGAATGTGTTTCCCAAATAAGGGCAGCTGGAAGCCTACGGTTGGCTGTTTGTGCAGAGCAGTGTACTGGTTACAGAAGGCAGTTGGCCCTTCTTTTTAGGGGCTCTGGAGGGTTCATTATGAAATCTTCCTAAAGGTATATGAGCAGGGCCAGGCTAGACAGACCTGGATTCCATTGGCTTTGTCTACTCACAAGCAGTGGTTAGCTTTAGAAGAATCATAAATCTATTTATTTAGCTACCAGCAGCCCTCATATCACTCAGCTCTTTAATAAACAGGTTGAGATCCCTGAAGATTAAATGGAAACAATGACATACTAATGTAAGCACAATGTCTGCCTTGTTTTATCATCGCCTGCCTATTAACACATGTCGCTTTCTCGGTCCTGAATGCTGTTGTGCACGCCTCCTTTATGCTTGTCAACCCCTGTCCCTCAGGACACCTCCTGACTGCTGTTCTCTCTCCTTCACCCCTGATTCCTCTCTCCAGGGTGTGGTAGGCATTGTCCCTGGATGCTTTGCTATCTGGGTCTGACACCATTGTCGTCCCCACTTATGCTGTGAAATCTTTCAGAGCTGGGCTTGTGACCTTTGACTCTCGACCCCATGGGCCTGCAACATAGCAGATGCTCAATAAAGGCTGGCAAGTTAAAAAATTTTGTGAGCTCATTGACATCAGAGTTCATGTCTCGTACATCTCCTCTCATAAGGGGCTGCATCCGTTTGAGGTTAGGAAGTGGGCGGTGGAATTCCCGTTGAATCTGTGGGCTGTATTTGGTATGTAGGAGGTGCTCAGTTGTCCCATGGATGGATGTTCTGGAGCAGTAGAGAGAAGCTGCTTTGATTGTAATCATCAGGTAGAGACATGGGAATCACATGGGAATCCCTAGCAAGAGCTCCTTTGTACTCCTGTTTTAGGGTGGTGGTCGGGGACTGTTGGGTCAAAGGCCAGGGTCTCTGAGACCAGATGACCTGCACTGAGCCCCCCATGGAGCTTGTTATGAATGCAGCTTCATACCCCACCTGGTACCCCACCTGGATCACGATCTCATCTCTGAGGTCGTGGTGGGCCCTGCTTGTTCGTCAAGCTCTGTAAATAATTCAGCACATAGCAGTGTCACCAGCTGTGGTCTAAGCAGTCCAGGTATTGCCACGTTTCCCAATTTGGTGTTCAGAACTTCATGACTTTTTCATATGTGTATATCACCTGTGCTATTATTTAATTAAATAATATTTTTTCTTAATTTATCCTAAATTTTCCTTTAAGTCAATATATGCATTTTACTTAAATTTATTTAAGAAGGAAATTGTACTTCCATATTATAAATAGAAGGCCAGTATCACTTGTCATAAATACTGTAAAATTCAGTCAGAGGAAAACAGAGCAATGTTATTAAGTTCCAGCCAGACAGTGGTGCCTGTTGATGTCCCTGAGCCAGAGACCTGCTCCCTTTGTGAAAAAGGGCGCTTAGCCAAGGGCTAGGGAGGTTTTAGGCATGTATTATACCAAACAGACTTTGTCCTAAGTGAAAGACTTAGAACTGAGAAGGGAATAACTTGTTCCCCCCTTGACATACTGTTGTGCCTAGAGCATCTCACACCCAGCCCCCTGGGTGGGTCTGACTCTTTGAGGGGCACTGATGCCTGTTGCGTCCTGAGAGACTGGGGGCCTGAGTTCCTTCTGTGAAGATCCCAGAGTGACTTGGTGACCCTTTATCTAAAGCAGAGGGGAGAGGGCCCAGGCATAGTGAGGAAGGGAGGGTCCAGAGCCCTCCAGGTGCTTTTAACAGTCCACTCCCTGGTGTGAGTCGAAAGGCCCGGTGAGGGCTAAGTGCTGGAATCGGGGGGTCTGTAGATGACCCCTGAAGCCAACTCAAGCCTCTGGGGGCTCAGTGCCCCTCTTTGGAGGCGAGGAGGCTGGGAAAGCAGTGCACAGATGGAGGCATTGTCTCGTTAATGAGGAGGTTGGCATTTTCTTCCTGGACCCTGGACCCAAACCATCAACCAGGGAGCATTTTCATGCGTGTCACTTGACAGCTTCCGGACCTCGTCCCTCTCTCTCTCACATCCGTTCAATGTATTTATTTAGCATGCGGTAGGTTCAAGGTGCTGTGCTGGGGCTGGGGTCTCAGAGAAGAGTAAGACACGCTCTAAAGAAGCCAGCTCCCAGGTGGCCAGGTGATGACCACCTGCCGTGACACAAGGCTCCACGTCAGGAAGAGTACACACAGTGCTTGGAGGGCCCAGAGCAGGATGGAGTTGCTCCTTGCAGAAGCCTGTGGGCAACTCTCCAGGTGGGACGAGGATCTGTTGTACCTCAAGCATGCAGGGTGACTTCCAATGAGGCAAAGAAGTGGCCTGTTCATACAACTGGAGACCCCGTTGATTTGGGTGGGGCCGGCAGAGGGCCGAGTTGGCGGGAGCTGGTCACAACCAGGCCACGTCTGGTGAGGTCCAGATGGCTGCAGTAAATCTGAAGCTGGAGGGGAAAACCAGGGGACAGAAGTGTGAAGAGTCGGGGGGCCCAAGTTGCCTGGTGCCAGCTTTGTGCCTAGAGATTAGGGCCTGGACCTCAGGGCCTGAGAGCCCCTGTCCCTGGACACCTCCCTGCCACAGCCCAGCTTCTCTTGAAAGCCTGTCCCTTGCCTGACTTCCAAGCCCCAGTTGGTCTAACTTAAGTGACTGATGTGGACACCCTGGGGAAACAAGGATGTGGTGTCCCAGGCAGACTGGAGGCCAGTGTGAGCAGGAAAGTGTGGGAGGTTATAGGAGAGAGGGCGTTGGGGATTGGCTGACTTCAGGCCACAGTCGCTCTGGGTCTGAGGTGACCATGGCAGGGTGAAGCCACTGGATTTGAACCTCTGCCACCTGCTGGAGCTGTGAGGTCTGGCCAAGCATTTGGCTTCCCCAAGGCCCACTCCCATCCACCCCATCCCCATTCCCACCCCTGGTAGAATGGGGCACATAAAACCTACCGCAACCTTTTTGGGTTGGGTGAGATGACATTTATGGAAAGCACTTTGTAAACTGTGAAGTGCCTGACAACTGGGAGATGTCAGGTACAAGACTGCCATTTTCGACACACAGGTCACTATTCAAAGTCCTTCAAGAAATGAGCCAAGTCAGGCTCTAGGGCAGGAGCTTCCTCAAATGTTGGTGACGACGTGGGGTGAAGTGAGTCTAGTGGTGGTGAAAACACGGCAGGCAGCTGTCCCTGTGCTTGGTCTGAGTTCCTCTCCCCTCTCTCCCCATCACTTTCTCAAAGTCTGCCCCCTGGAGCTCTAGAGAGCTGGGCCCACTGTGTGTGTGTGTGTGTGTGTGTGTGTGTGTGTGTGTGTTCAGGAATAGAGTTTCTCTCCATATGGCTCTGATTTACACTGATGCTATCAAGTATCAAAAAATATAAATTGTATTATTTCCACAGAAAATCAATGTGACAATTTCTTTGTTCCCCACCCAGCCCTTCTCACGAAAAGTAATCTTTAGGGCAGGCTGAAAAGTTAGTAGAATTACAATGTGTGCCAGCGTGTGGACCCTGCTTGCCTTCTTTTAGTTGTTTTGGTTTTTCCATTTTCTTCTTGGGAATAGGGAGGGTATTGAAATATTTACAAGAATATCATTGGCCAACCAATGGCAAATATCGTCTGCTCTCTAACAAACTAAAGCTGGGTCTACATGCAATCATACAGTTGCAGGAAAAATGAAAATAATGAAAAAAAAGGAAGTTTACACATACGTGGCTCTTTGACACTGAAAACAAAATATCTACCTTTCAGTAATTTTGGAGCTTCATCTAGAAATTTGTCTTATGGGGAAAACCGCTTAGAAGAACAGGCCAGTATATGTGAGTGTGCTTGCATACAGAGAAAGGCATAATGCCAACTTGTTCTACTATTGAGGGCAGAAGCGAACATATTAGTGTATGCATTGTTATAGAGCTGATGTTCAAGTGGTTTTCCTAGATGAAGAGATATTCAGAAATTTTAAAGTTTATTAAAATATGAGTTACAGCCCTTGATAATTTCATTCTAAAGTTGGAGCTTTAGAAGAGTTTCCTCTTCGTATCGGGAATTATGCAAATATTTGGCTTACAGTGGATATGTTTGGATTCTCGTCCCTTATCTTATAACAGTTGCATACTGAGACAGGCATCTCCGGACAGCGCCCCCCTCATAAACTTAGCTTTCTTTAACATATTTAAAAAGCAGATAAGTTGGGTATTGTGGTCTGCTGCAG